CCCCTCCCCGCTGAGGGTGTATCTTAAGGTTGGTCATGTGCTGATCATGCACTCCTCAGCAGTGCGGAAGTATCCTTCAGACTTTTAAAACAAGTCAGGCTGCGCCCCAGTAACTTCTTCTGGGACTTCTGCAAGGTGGGGCCTTTAGGTCCCCACATTTAGTGATCCAGAGACCTAAGAAAGTTTCCATCCTGCGTCAAATATTACATATTTTAGAGTGCTAATTGCCCGTATGGTTTTGAGAAAGTCGTTTTTCCTTTTAGAGTCTCATTCTTGAGCTTGCCCTATTTGTTCTTGAAATTGAAATATTTACTTATTTATTTATTTTTGATGTAGGGTCTCACTGCGTAGCTCCAGCTGGCCTGGAATTTGATATATAGTCCAGGCTAGCCTCGATCTCAGAGATTGCCTCTGCCTCCCGAGTAAAGGCATCTGGCTATTTATTAATTTTAAAGGTTTTTTTTTTTTTGGTCTTTTTGAAACAGGTTTTCTCTGAAGCCTCAGCTGGCCTAGAACTCACTATGTAGACCAGGCTGGCCTTGAACTCACAGAGATCCACCTGCCTCTGCCTCCCAAGTGCTGGGATTACAGTTGTGTGCTACCATGCCTGGCTTATTTTAAAGGTTTTTTTTTTTTTGATTATGTGTATATGTGTATGTCTGTATGTGTGTATATGCACATGAGTGCAGTGCCCATGGAGGCTAAAGACAACAGATCCCCTGTAACTGGAGTTACAGGTGGTTATAAGCCACCTGATATGGGTGCCTGGAATTGAATTCAGGTTCTCTGCAAGAGCAGTATGTACTCTTAACCACTGAGCCATCTCTCTAGCCCCCAAAGTTGAAATATTTTAAATAGTTGCACTTCAAGTAAGTTTTGGTTTGTTCAAGTAACCTCCACTTCAGCAATTACTGTATGTCCACCCTGCTTAGTTTTGTTGTAAATGCTAGCTGTGGGAATTTGGTGTTATTTAATTATTCCATTCTCATGTGAGGATTCAGAATGACCCAGAGACTGCTTCTACTCCTTTCTCCATTTTCCACAAACTCTTCAAACAGTAGAATTACAGAATTGCTATAATACTTTGAGGGTATAGCTGATAGAATTGTCTGGTAGTTTAGAAGTGAGTAGTATAAAAAGAAAAAAAGGAATCATGGATGACTCTTTAAATCATTGAATACTTAGAATAAGAGTTAGAAGTAACAGTCACCAAGTAGTCCTTTTATATCAGATACATGGTTTTTCAGAAAGCCAGGTAAGTAAGATGAAGACTAAGAATTCAGTGGTGGAAGAGGTTGGCAGAAAGAATATAAGAGTTGGACGAAGAGGTGGAGTGTTACCTGGAAGTGTCCTCTGATCACTACATGCTGACAAGCTATAGTCACACCCCCTTTCCACCCTCGTCAAGGAGTCAGTGGGGAAGTCAGTTGCCTCTTCCACCTAATCAGTTGACCTTAGCTTCATGTGGGGGAGGGGCTAGGGATATATGAGGCACCTCTCTTGCTATTTTGTATTTTGTATGGTGCCTCTCACCATTTTGCGTGGCTGTTGGGAAGTCACAGGATCTATATTTCAGTGTGGACTTTCCAGCACAGCAGTAAATGGGTCAGGGGACGCCCACTCTCCTGTAAAAAAAAAACCCCCCCCTAGGCCCTGTTAGAAAGCCCAAAAAACCCCAAAAAAAAAAAAAAAAAAAAAAGAACAGTGCTAATGGAAACCTTCATTATTCTACCAAAGTTAACCCCATATCAGCAAATCCTTTGGTCTTTGATTGCTTAGTCCTGTTTTTCCACCCTTAAACTTCATATTGTGTGTGTGTGTGTGTGTGTGTGTGTAATATAACCTGCTTCAAGTTATTTCTGGAAAAATGTGTTAAAAGTTGGCCTCTTTGGAATTAAAAAAAAAATAGAAAATTGCAAGGAAAAAAAAAAGCAGTGGGCTTAGCCACCCAGCATACATGCCTCACCTTCATGGTGGACTGTTGACAAAACTTAATTAGAAGAGTCTTAAAAAGAAAATAGAAGCGGGGCGTGGTGGTGCACGCCTTTAATCCCAGCATTTGGAAGGCAGAGGCTAGGAGATCTCTGAGTTCAAGGCCAACCTGGTCTACATAGTGGTTCCAGAACAGCTGGGGCTACAGGGAGACCCTGTCTCAAAAAGACCGAAAAAAAGAAAAAGAAAGTAGAGCACTTGGGAGGCAGAGGAAGGCAGATCTCTGAGTTCGAGGCCAGCCTGATCTAATAGTTCCAGGCCAGCTGGGGCTATAAGGATTCCCCCCCACCCCCACTCATCTCAAAAAGACCAAAAAAAAAAGAAAAGAAAATAGGGAAACTTCTCTTGCAGAGTACTGGGTTTGGGTCCCAGCACCCACATGGTAGCTAACACCTGTCCTTGACTCCAGTTCTAGGGGATCCAGTGCCTTCTAAGCTCTGTGAACATTGTATAGCACTGGTGTGCTTACACACATGCAGGCAAAACACTCATACATATAAAAAATGAAAAAAAAAAGATCAAAAAGAATAAAATAGGAAGTATTGATGATTCTTATGAGCCATCTTGCTTTAAATACAAGCTGGAAGAGGCCTTTGATTTTGTTTTAAAAGTGAAATATATTGGGACTGGAGAGTTGGCTCAGCAGTTAAGAATGCTGACTGTTCTTGCAGAAGATCCAGGTTCAAATCCCAGCACCCACATGGCAGGTTTTTAAAAAACTGCCTGAAACTCCAGTTCCGGGGGATCTGATGGACTCTTCTGTTCTCCTTGGGCATTGCATGACATGGGTGCACTTACATACATGCAGGCAGTACATGCATACGCATAAAAATAATATATATATATTTTAAAAGTGAAACGTATTACAGGCACATAAAGTGTGTTACAGCATACAAACAGTTGCATGTGTGTAGCACCATCTGGGCAGCTGATGAGATAGCAGTGAAACAAAAGTTGAGGTAACAAAGGGGAACGCTTATAAGCAAAATCTTGAGGAGGCAAAAGAGAATGGATTTCAGAGCTCAAATGGATGGTTTCTGTCCTAGTGTGCTTTCTATTGCTGTGATAACAAAAACCAACCTGGGGAGGAAAGGGTTTATTTCAGGTTATAGTACAGTCCTTTATCAAGGGAAGCCAAAGCAAAAGCTCAAGAAGGGATCTGATGGCAGAAACTGAAGCACAGACCATGGAGGCTTGCTCAACTACTACTCTTACACAGGCCCACCTGCCCAGGGATGGCACCACCCACAGTGGAATGAGCTCTCTTATATCAACAAACAGTTAAGAAAATGCCCCACAGACCCACAGCCAAACTGTTGGGGCCATTTCTCAATTGTGGTTCTGTCTTCCCAGGGGTACTAAGTTGACAACTGAAACTACCAGCATATTTGCTCAGATAGGAGCAAGAACAGTTCATCTCTAATGATAGGAGAGAATGTACAATACGTGAGCTAGAAGGCATAAATAATTTTCTCATTGCTTTTATTTTTTCAGAGATGTAAGAAGCAAAGTTCTCAGCAAATAGAATAAAGAAGGTATGAGCTAGGCCTGGTGGTGTTTGCCTTTAATCCTAGAACTAGGGAGACAGAGGCAGGCTGATTTCTGAGTTCCAGGTCAGCCTGGTCTACATCAAGAGTTCCAGGCCAGACAGGGCTACTTGGTAAGACCCTGTCCAAAACAAAAAAACAAATAAAAGATGCTTGAGAAAGAAAACATGCTGTTATAAGAATAGAGGGTGAAAAAAAAAAACCCTCCGTTTCTTGTTTCTCTACTCTACTTTCAGAGCTCCTGTGACCCTAGAAGATACATGGGGCTTTCTCCCCATCAACAACCTATTCTGCAGATGGTTCTCAAGCAGATACCACGTAGATATCTTCTTTGCCAATTCAGTTCTGTCACTGATTACCTGAAAATAGCATCAGATTCCCCAGATTAAGGGTTTGGTTTTTTTTTTTTTGTTGTTGTTGTTGTTGTTGTTGTTTTGTTTTTTAAGCTCATGGTAGAAACTGGCTAATTGCCCTCTAGAAGATACACAGGTTTCTTACTCCCATCAGCACTAGTATCGGTTTTCCCCTGCTCTTGGCTTAAGCATATACACAATTACATACATACATTGCTGAAGCAGTTTGGTGCCAAATTTCTATTTGCTTCATTTGATAGCTAGTGAGTTTATGCATCTTTTCATAATAACTGTTTTATGTTTGCTTTTTTTTTGAGACAGGGCCTCCCTGTAGCACCAGCTGGCCTGGTACTCATTATGTAGACCAGACTGGCCTTGAACTCACAGATCTGCCTGCCTCTACCTCCAGAGTACTGGGATTAGAGATGTATGCCACCATGCCCAGCTTAGAGATAGTGATCTTCTATTTGTCATACATGCCCCCAGTTCTTTGCTTGCCTTTTTATTTTGCTTCTGGAATAGTTCAATGTATAGAGATGCTTGCTTTGTTGAATATTTTGATGTCTATTTTCTTTTTGGGGGCCTCTTTTTGAGACAGGGTCTCCCTGTAGCCTCAGCTGTCCTAGAACTCACTATGTAGACTAGGCTGGCCTTGAACTCATAGAGATCCACTTGCCTCTGCCTCCCAAGTGCTGGAATTAAAGGCATGCACCACCACGCCCAGCTTTGATGTCTGTTTTCATATACATACCTCAAAAGATTTTCCCCATCTCCAGCTGTTACCTATGTTTTCTTTTAGTTCTGTTTATTTTTATATTTATTTATTTATTTGTGTGTTGGGGGAAGGGAGCACATGATGAAGTGTGCCTGTGGAGGTCAGAACAACTTGCAGGAAGTAGTCAGTTCTCTCCTTCCACCTTGTGGGCTTCAGGAATTGAACTCAGGTCATCAGATTTGGCAGCAAGTGCCTTTTCTGTCTGAGTCACCCTGTCAGCCGTTTAGTTCTATTTAAAACCTTCTCATCTATATGCCTTTACTAGTTCCCAATTTGATTTAAGGTAGGTATAGCTTGAACTTAGTAGAAATTCAATTACTTTTTCTTTTACAGCAAAGATTTGTGGAGAAGATGGACAGGTGGATCCCAACTGTTTCATTCTGGCACAGGCCATAGTCTTTAGTGCAATGGAGCAAGAGTAAGTTTCATATTTTCACATTTAGCATTCTTGGGAATTTGGGATCCTTGTTGGGAATGGACTTCACTCAACTAAAAACAAAATATTTTTGAAGACTTAAATAATTTGGGCTGGGCATGGTGGCACATGCCTTTAATCCCAGCACTCCGGAGGCAGAGGCAGGCAGATCTCTGTGAGTTCAAGGCCAGCCTCGTCTACATAGTAAGTTCCAGGCCAACTGGTACTACAGGAAGACCCTGTCTCAAAAAGTCCAAAAAATAAATAAATAAATAAATAAGTAAATAAATAAAATAATTTGGATGCTAACCATAGAAGCATATGCTAAAACTCTCTCTGCTAATACTCTTTGTTAATTATATAATTCCTATTATAGAATAAAATATTAAGAATATTAAGAATGAAATAATTTTCACTCTTCATTTAACATTTTATAATTTAAAAGATTGTTTTTAGTTCTGAAGTCATTTGGGGGTGATTGACACTGTAGTATATGACTGAGAATTTGTTGATTTAATAATGTATGTCTTCAGATGGACATCTGATTTGTCAGTTCATGCTTTCAGTTCAATATATGCTACATAACTAAATTTGCATTCACTGTTGAAACTGCCTCCAGAGTTTTTTTTAGATGGTGCTTTGTGCCCTTAAAAAATCTGTCTGTTCATTTTTTTTTTTTTTTTAATTATTATTTTATGTGTGTGCATGTATTGCCTGCATCTAGGTAAGTACACTGCTGTCGTGCAATGCCCATGGAGAACAGAAGAGGCTGTTGGATCCCCTGGGACTGGAGTTACAGATAGTTGTTAGCTGCCATGTGGGTTCTGGGATTCGAACCCGGTCTTCTGCAAGAACAACCAGTGTTCTTAACCGCTGAGCCATCTCACATTCTTTTATTCAGTATTTATTAAATGTTCTGTACAGGGCACAGGTAACTATATTACCCTCCTTGAAAGAAGTTGCAGCCAAATAAAAGAAAAAGGCCATGTTCTTTGGTTACTATAGTAGGAGGTAGCATATGTTAAATATCAAAGGAGAGCTACAAAGCCATTGAGAGCTGGGGGATTACTTACAGTTTAACGGAATCAGGAACACTTTGGGAAGTAAGGCAGCCCTGACCTAGGCCTTGAAGATTGAATAGAGACAATTTTGGAAAGAGTCTTTTTTTCCCCAGTTAAGCTCTTTCCTTGGTCTTCCCCTCAAATATTTCCTTTTTGTCCATGTGCAGGCACTTTAGTGAGTTTCTGCGAAGTCACCATTTCTGTAAATACCAGATTGAAGTGCTGACCAGTGGAACTGTTTACCTGGCTGATGTTCTCTTCTGTGAGTCAGCCCTCTTTTATTTCTCTGAGGTAAATTCTGCATTTTCTTTGATACACTTTTAGAGCATTCCAGCCTCTGAACTGCAAATGTTGCAGCCCTGTCTAAACAAAATGACTGACATAGAAGAGACAAATCATTTTCATAAAGATTGTTTTAGCTTGTATTTAATGGCAAGAATACTTTAATGGTGTATTCATCTGAGTAAAGGGAAAATTCAGTGTAAAATAACCCTATTTTTTTTTTAAAAAACTACTACTAATTGGAGAATACTTTTTTTTAAATTTAATAACCACATGATTAGAAGAAGCATTTCATTACAGCTTTAACATATTCAATAACAATTTCCAGAGCAACAATACATTGCTTTCAAAAGTGGGTGTAAATTTTTAGGTTCACAGTTGAATTAATACAGTTATACAGTATTAAACTCAGTATAAACCATGTAAGACATAATATTGAAAAAAAAATTATTTTGAGCTGTCTTACAACCAGAGAATTGGGAGCTAGGAATTTAGCTCCATTGATAGAGCTTCTCTGGTGTGCACTTAAGTTCTGGGTTCAGTCTCTAAGCATCACATAAATGGGGCTTGGTGGTACACGTCTGTATTCCAACACTTGGGACGTAGAGCAGGAGGATCAGAAGTTTAAGGAGACCGTCTTGAAAACTAAGGTAGAGGGCTATCAAGGAAGATAACTCATGTCATGAACATACATACTCCTCCAGTATACACACATGCACACACACACACAATACACACTAAATAAAAATAAAGAGAGCCATAGAACTGGATGCTTTATTCCTTTGTATAAGTAATTACAGACCAGATATCAAAACAGAGAAAAGTAATAAAGTTTTTCTTATGCTCATTACTTTTTTTTTTTTTTTAGCTCCTTGGTTGAATTGCTCAGTAAAACATTGAAAATGAACAGTAAACATACTAATCTCTTTGAGTCATTTAGGGATTTTTCAATTTTGTATTCATTTTTTTGAAGTGTTTAAAAATGTTTTTATTTGTGTATGTCATACATATTAATGAGCATCATTATGACTTTTATGAATATACATAGTATATTTTGATCCCATACAAACACACATCCCTGTGATCCTTTCTTTTACCCCTCCTACTCCAATTAATACCCTTCCTTTTCCCAACTACCTCCCTGTCTTAGTTTATTTCTTCATTGCTGTGACAAAACACTCTGACCACTACCAACTTGGGGAGGAAAGGGTTTATTCAGCTTACAACTCCCAGGTCGCAGTTCATCATGGAGCCCAAGGTAGGAACTCAGGGCAGGAGCCTGGAGGCAGGAGCTGGAGCACAGGCCATGGAGGAATGCTGCTTACTGGCTTGCTCCCCTGGCCCCTGCTTGGCCTGCTTTCTTATACAACACAGGCCCACCTGCCCAGGGGTGGCACCACCCACAGTGGGCTGGGCCCTCCCACATCATTCATCAAGAAGATGCCCTTCAGACATGGCCACAGGCCAGTCCAATAGAGGCAATTCCCCAATTGAGGCTCCCTCAACCCAGGTGTGTCAAGTTGACACTAAAGCTATCCAGCACACTCCCTCTTCTACTTTTATGTCTATTTTTAAAAATTTTTTATTTTATGTATATAAATATTTTGCCTGAGTGTATATAAGTGCACCACATGTGTGTGGTGCCCATGGAGGCCAGAAAAGGGCATCCGATCCCTTGGAACTGGAGTTATAGATGACTGTTAGCCACTGTGTAGGTGCTGGGAACCGAGTCCAGGTCCTCTACAAGTATAGCCAGTGCTCTTAACCACTAAGCCATCTCTTTAGCTCCTACTTTCATTTCTCTCTTTTGTGAGTGTCCTAGTGAGTTTCATTAAAGAATTTATGTGAGCATGAGTTTGTTTATAGGAGTATGAACACCTTACCAGTGACTATATCACCGAAGAAAATGTTTTCCTTCCCCATTCACCATTAATTATGTATAAGTCATCAAGAAGGGATGGAGTCCTGTGAGCCCCTTCCCTTCCATGACGATGTTGACATGCTCAGTCTTATAGAGATCTTGTGCAGGTAATCATAATTGCTGGGAGTTCAGGAGTATGACAGCCATGGCATGTCATGCCTGCAATTCAGTGCTCCATACCATTTGCCCCCTTCTTCCAGGTCAGTTGGTCTTTCTTTCTTTCTTTCTTTCTTTCTTTCTTTCTTTCTTTCTTTCTTTCTTTCTTTCCTTCCTTCCTTCCTTCCTTCCTTCCTTTCCCTCCCTCCCCTTCCCCTTCCTTCCTTCCTTCCTTCCTTCCTTCCTTCCTTCCTTCCTTCCTTCCTTGCTCTTCTGCCCTCTCTCTCTCCCTCCCTCCCTCCCTCCCTCCCTCCCTCACTTCCTTCTTTCATCATTTTCATTTTATGAGTGTATTGCCTGCATGTATGAAGGTACACCCATGTCATACAGCACCCATGGAGGCCAGAAGAGGATGTCAGATCCCTTGTAACTGGAGTTATGGACAATTGTTAGCATCCATGTGAGTGCGGGGAACCAAACCTGCTCTTAACCACTGAGCCATCTGTCCAGCCCCTCTTACATTCTTTCTGTCTCTTTTTCCATGATGTTCCTTAGTCTTGGAGGTAGTGATAGAGATGTCCCATTTATAGTTGAACATTCAATAGTGCTCGACTATAAATGGGTCTTCTTTTTTTGACCAGTTTATGGATCCTGCTTTCACCACTGATCACTGTAAAAAGAAGCATCTCTGACAAAAGCTACCTGCAGCACTATTCTATGTGCATAAACATAGTTTTTTAGAAGGCAATTTGATAGGCACATCATGTCCTTTTTAGCAAAATACCAGCAATGGTTTCCCCACTAGTATCTATGACCTCCTCAGCCATGGGCTTTTGACTGGGTTTACAGTACCAGACATTACTTCTTTCCTGTAGTGGAGCAGGCATTAAATCCAATCAGAGAGCAATTGGTTACCCCTATAACAGACTTGCCACTATTGTACTAGTGGGCACATCTTGCCTGGCCTGTTGATTTTTTATTTTTATTTATTTATTTATTTTTTTGCACACAGGGTCAACAGGTCAGGAGGACTGTGTATGACAATTCTTCCCCAGCAGACTGCATAGTACTTTCTAGTGCTGTGAGGGTTAGCCAGTAGGGAAGAAGCTTCCAGCTTGGTTCCAGCTTGATTTCTCTATGCCTTGGGACCAAAGCATGTTACATCATCAACAATGGGGTCTTAACATCTAGTTCTGGTGGTCAACCAGCAGCAGTGACAATTGCCTGTATTGTTTTGGAACCTCCCTAGCCAGCAGCTCATAAGAGGGTAACCGACCTTTGGCACTAGGAGCAGCATTGTCTACCCACACCAGGTGTGGTACACAATTTTTTGTTTTTTAATATATTTTATTTAGTATTTTTATTTTATGTGTATGAGTAAGTATTGCCGCATGTGTGTGAGTGTATCCATGTCAGGCAATGCTGCAGAGGTCAGAAGAGGGCATTGGATTGCCCTGGAACTGGAGCTAAGGACAGTTCATAGCCGCCATGTGGGTGCTGGGAATCAACTCCAGGTTCTCTGCAAGCACAGTCAGTGCTCTTAACCACTGAGCCATCTCTCCAGCCCCAAGGTATACAATTTTATATAACTGTATATATACATTGGCCAATGAAAATACTTTGTTGCAAAACAAATGACTATTAAAAGGATGCCTGAGCTGGGAATATGTCTGACTCAGTGGTAGAATGCTGGTTTAGCTTTCAGGAGGCCATAGATTCACAATCCCTAGCATCACTTAAAAAAAATTCTCAGTCTCACAAACAGTAACCTAGGTGCTTGAATTTGCTTCTTTGCAAGAATACAATAAATATGAGACTGGAGAGATGGCTCAGCATTTAAGAACATTGGCAGCTCTTCCAGATGACCCAGGTTGTTTCCAGCACCCACATGGCAACTCACACCATCTGTAACTCCAGTTCCAGGGCATCTGACACCCTTTTGTGGCCTCCACGGGCATTGTATGCACAGGTACACTGTATACATACAGGCAAGACACACATGCACATAAAAGAAAGAAAAATATAAATAGAATACAATACATAGTTGACTTGCCTTTTTATTCCCTTTCTTGGCCATGGCTTAAATCAGCATTTGTTCAGGTTGTCCTCATAAAATGTCCATATATGCTCATAGAATAATGGAAATGATTAGGCATAAAAGATGTAGCTCATTATAATTACTGGTGAGGACACATGGATCCAAATTAATGTAATTTTTGCTCCAGTAAACAAAGTTTGCATTTATCTGTATGTGGTAGGTTTGTTGTTGTTAATTTTAGTTTATTCTCCCAAGAAAGAGTATTTTAAAACCTGTTTGTTTCAAACTCCTGTATGTTGCTGAAGGGTGTGATGTGAAGAAGTAGATCTTTTTCCTTCTTCCTTATGTTATATACTTTAATACTTGGGGCTTATAGATTACAGGTGGTAAGAGAAGTCTGTTTCTTAATCTTACTTTTTCCTTTTATATTTTTTTCCTTCCTAGTACATGGAAAAAGAAGATGCAGTGAATATCTTACAATTCTGGTTAGCAGCAGATAACTTCCAATCTCAGCTTGCTGCCAAAAAGGGCCAGTATGATGGGCAGGAGGCACAAAACGATGCCATGATTTTATATGACAAGTGAGTCCCTGTGCACTATGATAATAAAGTGAATAAACTAATTCTCTTCTGTCAAAGAGTGTATAGGACACAGTATAAAAGCAGATTTTCATATGGTGGATGCAGAGCTGTCAGGACCACAGTAAGGTGCTGGGGAGGGTTTCACCAACAAAAGACTTGATTTGGATGCTTAAAAGTAAATTGAGGGTTGGGAAAATAGCTCAGTGAATAAAGTAAGTATTTGCCATGCAGGTTAAAGGACCAGGGTTCAGATCCCCAGAATCCACATAATTGCTGGGTGAGCCTTGTGGCCCAGCTGTAATTCTAGCCTTGGAAGATGGAAAGCTCTAGATTTTTTATTAAAAGACCCTGTCTCAAAGAATAAGGTGGAAGAATGATCAAAGAAGACTCCTGGCATCAACTTCTGGCCTTCACACACATATACACACTTGCAGTGCTCACCCATACACATACATGCATACATACACATATGCACACTCTACACACAAACACGGAGAAAAAAAGGAGTAAACTGAATTTGCCAGGTAGTAAAACCGTGAAAGTTAATTTCATACAAACATATTGGCACAAAGTCATTAGAAGTGGAGAAATGTGGTACTTTGAGGAAATTTGAGTTTGGGGACAGAGTATACAGAGCCCAGGGAAATTGCTTGTGCTGGAATGCCTCAGGGCCTCAGGTCTGTCATTCCTAGCACCAGGAAAAGGTAAGAGAACTTGAGTTTGCATAATGAAAGGGATGTTTCTAGGATATAATAGGAAGTATATTAATTAGAACACATTATAAAAAGGTTTTGACTGTGTTTGGATATATCAGACCTTCTGGTCCAAATTTGCATCTACATTGCTGAGTACTGGATTTTTCACTAGTTTTGGGGTTTGTCTCTGGTGCTGGGAATTGAACCCATGGCCTTGCATATGCTAAACATGCCCTTAATCCTTGTGCCACTCTAACCAGTTTCTCATTATTTTTCACTGAAAATGAAGGGTTGGGAAAACCTAAGCATGAATAGAACTAAAAACAAATGCTAAGATTGTTGCTAACTCCTAACCAGTGTTCTCTTGTTTGACTTTGTGAGAAGTTTGTTACTTGTATTCAGAGGCAATCCTAAAGGGATGACTTGGGAATTATGAGAACTCCATGGGGGCTAGAGAGATGGCTCAGCAGTTAAGAGTACTTGCTGCTCTTGCAGAGGAGGATTTGTTTCCAGCATCCACATCATGTAGCTTACAACCGCCTGTAACTCTAGCTTCAGAGGATCCGATGCCCTCTTCCACCCTCCATGGACACCTGCACACATAGGGCATACCTTTACATAAACACACATACATATAAATAAAAATAAATTAATCATTAAAAAAGAACTCCATAGGATGATAGAATTGGAGGAGAACCAAGACTATCTAGACCATTGGTTCCTGATCATTGGACTCTAGGTTCACACTAGACTGTCTGCATGAGATTTTCCTAGGAGCTTGTTAAAAATATGTTGCCCAGCTGACCAGCATGAATTTAGGCCAGTAGTGCAGCCAGGGATCTCAGCAGGCATGGCAATTCAGATGCAGGGGATCCAGCAGCTGCTGCAGACTGAGAAATGAGGTCCATAAGCAAAAGAACCGAAGGCTGAACTTAAACTGAACCACCTGTGGAAGGAGAAAGTTGAAGAAGGAAGCTGCCACACTAGGGTCACACAGAAGCTATAGCAGTCAAGTAGAGAAGACCCAGGAAAAGGTGACCATTCTCCAGACCTACTTCCTGCAGAACAGGGATAAAGTTTGGATAATGTGTGACATCTAGCCAGAAATCCACAAAAACTACCACACAAACAGAAGGAAGAAGCACCTGCTCCATGGTTGCCATTGAAATTGCTCTCTTGGAATATAAAGCCCCCACATAGCCCTAGCTCTGTTCTTAGAAAGGCATTCGGTTATTTCTCTATGCTGTAGTTGGTCCCATCACTTTTTGGAGAGTACCAAACCTAGATTTTTGTACAGGTTTAGTACTTACCTAAAGTTTGATCTTTTTTTTACCTGGTTGTCTTTAATTAGTAAATGTTGTCTGTTTCCCTCTGTGTTGGTGCAAGCAACGGGTCTCAAATGTTAACTTTTTCTTTCTTAGTTTAGTAGTAAAAAAAAGTTCTTTGAAGAAAGCAAGGGATGAAATTGTTCTTTATACTGTCTTAAAGGTCAAGAACTTTATCTATGAAAAAGTAGTAAATAGTTACTTGTAACCTGTATGAAGCAGCAGCCAGCCTTAAGTAGTCCATTCTGGCTAAGGTTGGAACAGTGAATACTATTATACATGTTCAGGCTGCTCCCAGTTTATCTTAATCCAGATTACTACATACTAGAATTTGAGAACTTGTTACATGTTATTTGGTGTATTGGTAATCATTTAAAAATAAAACTTTGTCATGCCAGAAAACAAATACATTTCCTAGTCATATATTAGATTCTGAGTCAGCAGATTTTTGAGGTAGGACCCAGGAATGTTTATTTCTTATAAACATTCTAGATAATTCTGATAGTTGGCTTAGGCATCTAGTCTGATTTTTTTTTTTACACATGCCCCCATTTTGCCAATAAAGAAATGAAAGTTTACAGAAGAAATTATTTTCTCAGAATTGTAGAGCAAGTTAATGGCAGAACTTTAGCAGGAATGTGATTGATATTCAGTTCAGTGCTTATTCTAGTGGGAACATTTGGGGGGGGGTGTTAGATAAGAAACCTTAATGGCTATTGAAATAGGAAGAATTTACATCTGGAAATTTGGTCTGTGGTACCTAAACATTCAACTCATAGAAATATATTTATCAGCTTCCTGGTTTTGTCACAGGAAAGGCACCTTTTGTTTTGAAAACGTTCAGCAGTCAAGAATACTTGCTGTTCTTGCAGAGGACCCTGGTTCAATTCCTAGCACTCACATTGTGGCTAACAACCATCTGTAACTCCAGTTCTGGGAGATCCAATGCCTCCTCCTGTCCTCCATGGGTACTGTGTGACACAGGTGCACTTACATACATGCAGGCAAACTCATACACATGAAAGTAATAAAATATTTTAAAAGAGAGCCTATTTCCATGTGCTGGAGTAGAAGAGTGTCAAGAACACTGGTCAAGTCCTGGCTCATGGTGCCTGGATGGCTGAATCCCATTTTCATGTTGGGAGACATTTTTGATTTGAGATAAGTGACCTAGTATGGGTGCTGTCCTTTTGCATTGTGCAGGTTTGACTTTTTAACTCCCTGCTTCCTGCTCATTTGTTGCTGTGCTGTGTTTTCTATGTGCCTCATCAGCCCTTCTTTTTCTTTTTTTTGTCTTTTTGAGACAGGGTCTCCCTGTAGCTCCAGCAGGCCTGGCACTCACTATGTAGACCAGGCTAGCCTCCTATCTCACAAAGATCCCTGCCTCCTCCCTAGTGCTGGAATTGCATGTCCCATGGCACTCTGCCTTACTGTTTTTAACATGATCAGACACTTGACTAAGTCCAGTTTATTTTTTCACTGCATCCTGTCTTGATGTACAATGCCCAGGTTATTGGAAAAAACCAGAAGATGTGGCTTAAACCCCATTCCTCTGCTGTTTTTTTTTTT